ATCTCACTTCAACTCTCTACTTCGCAGTTTCGATTTCTATAAAATGGGTTTGTTAACGGTGGCCTCCATACTGGGATTGAACACGAGCTGAAAGGGTGGCTGCCTCTTGCTTTAATGTGAGAAGTCCCATAAGATGTGTCTACTGCCATTGTTCCCTCACTAAGCCTGAGAAGTGGCACTGGGCCCAGCCGGCTCGTGGTGAGTTGTCCATGTGGGCTAGATCAGGTGTTACAGCGAGGAGAATGTGGCCATTAGGATTGGACTGACCTGCGTGGGCACGCAAGATTCTTTACCTGCCACAGGGTAGCCGTGTGCAAACCACGTCCCATCAGAGAATGGTATTAACCTTAGGGTTGTTGTGAGACCCCCATGGAACAATGCCAGGGCAGGCCCTCGCCAGATGGAGTTACCCCGTCCTCCGCCTGCCTCTGTCGCCTTTGCCTTCTCTCCTGCAGGTTTCTTTGGATGGGCTGAGGAGTGGGGCACTTCAGCAGTAGCATAGAGTCACAGGACCGGAAGGGACCTCTTGGCCAGTTTAGGTGGCTTTTGGACCTCAGAGAGTTGGGCCCTGAGGGCATAAAACCTGCAGTTTGATTTAGCCAGGCCTGGGGTAGCGTCCTGAGCCAGGGTGCTTCCGGGAGGCAGACAGGATTGGGGTCATGGCACCGTGAGGGTTAACAGGAAGACTAAAGCCAAGAGGAGGAGACAGTGCACGGTGCACAAAGATCCAGAGGGGGCTAAGGGGCCTCCTGGGAACACGCAAGGGTGCTCCATGGAATCTGGAGCCGGCGTCGACAAACGACTATGCCCGGGCCCAACCAGGCCCTCCACCTAAGGGTATTTTTGGACATAAGTTTTATGGACATGCAGCCACGCCTACTCATATCCGTGTTGCTGCGGCTGTTTTTGTGCCACAAAGACAGATCGAGCAGCTGTAGTAGAGGCCGTTACATCCTACAAAACTTGAAATGTTCATTTTCTGGCCCTCTATGGAGAAAGCGGGCTGATCCCTGGCGTGGGGGACTTCATCCACGGCGACGGCCGTGATGAGCATCACACGCCTTGGAGTGGGACCCTCCACTGTGAAATGAATGGCGCCACCTAGAACTGTGCAGTGCACAGCCTGTTCCACTCAACGTCAGCCCCGCCTGAGAAGAATGTCCTGCAGGGTTCTGTGCGTGTGTGTGTGTGTGTGTGTGCGTGCATGCGTGTGCACCCACGCGCTCGGGAGAGGGAGGGAAGCAGGATCCTGAAATGTCAGCACCTTGCGGGGGGCGAGAGTTCCTGCTGCAAGCCCACAGCGTGGGGTTTGGGGGAGGTGAGTCTAAATTTAGACTTTCCAAAGCCACTCTGTAATCCAGGGCCTCAGGAGTCCCCAGGAGGACAGCGGGCACCCTCACCCCCCGCCGTCCCCATCTTGTCTCTGGTTTGCCTCCACCTGTTAAAAGGCTGGATGGCCTTAAACAATTGCTGGAGACTCGGTGAGGAGTCTGTCAGGAACTGAAGCTCCACTGTGAGGGAGTCCTGGGGGTAGAAATTTCTATTCCTAGGCCGGCGCCGCGGCTCACTAGGCTAATCCTCCGCCTTGCGGCGCCGGCACACCGGGTTCTAGTCCCAGTCGGGGCGCCGGATTCTGTCCCGGTTGCCCCTCTTCCAGGCCAGCTCTCTGCTATGGCCCGGGAGTGCAGTGGAGGATGGCCCAAGTGCTTGGGCCCTGCACCCCATGGGAGACCAGGAGAAGCACCTGGCTCCTGCCATCGGATCAGCGCGGTGCACTGGCTGTGGCGGCCACTGGAGGGTGAACCAACAGCAAAAAGGAAGACCTTTCTCTCTGTCTCTCTCTCTCACTGTCCACTCTGCCTGTCAAAAAAAAAAAATTTCTGTTCCTGCATTGGATCTCAGTGCTTGCCACAGACACGTGCCAGCCCCAGCTGCCCATGTGGGAGTTCCCTGCATTCCTCTTGCTGGTGTCATCTGAGCACAGCTGTCACCTCACTGTCACTCTTCCCCAGGTCCCTGGGGAGGAAGTCACACCTGTGACTCAGAGCAGCTCCCAGCCACCACCTCATGGTGGTGCTTTGCCCAGACACGCGACCTTGTGCCACTCCTCTGCCTGGGTGGATGTGTCCAGATGCCCATCTGCCCCTCTCCAGGCCCCGATGGGCCCACACCTCTTGGTGTAACGTGCGAGAACTGAACCACTGGTCTGAAACGTCTTAGGTATAACTCAGTCCGCCTCTGGAGAAAGGTGCAACGTTTGCAGTCGAAACGATAGAGGAATTGGAGAAGGAAGAGTCTGGGAAAGACCAGCGTAACAGGAAACAGGAATGGGGACCGAGCAATGGACAGACTAGGGCTGCCTGGTCAGCATGTCGAAATTCTAAGAGGGGCAGCAGCTAAGCAGAAGGTGCTCCCAAGAGGGTTCAAGTTCAAGTTCAAGTGTGAGTGCTTAGGGCTTGTGGTGAAAAGGGCCCTGATCAGCAAGCCTGGGGGGAGGGGCGGCTGGCCCTCTGGGAACTGATTTTGCAGCCGCCATAATTCAGGTCTTTCCAGCCCACAGGGACTTTTCTTTGTGTGACTTTATGCCCCAGCCTTGTGAGACTGGGAGATGAGAGTGTAGAACAAGTTCAGTGTCAACCCAGGTTGGTATAGGGTAAATGTCCACGGCAGGATACACAGGAACCCCCGCGGGAGTTTGGGAAAGGGGGAAGTGTCGCCGAGCACGGGGACGGAAGCTGCACAAGGGAGCGGGGCGTCCTCCGGATTCCGAACGACCGCCAGCAGGGGAGCATTGCAAGCACCGCAGCAAGGCAGGGATAAAAAGATGACATTTAGGGGCCCGTGAGGAAGTGGAGTGGCTGGAATCGGGCCTGCCGCTGACGGGGACGGTGCCTGCCCTGGGAGAGGAAAGGGAGAGTTTTAAAAATAAATGAAGCACCTCTTAATTATTCACGGCTGATCTGCATTGCAGCAAGTCCTGCTTCTGGCTCCCTCGTGATGTCATCCTCCTGCCCGCTGCTCCTCGCTGTCTCCCTTCACAGCCCAGCAGGAGCTGGGGCGGGCAGAACACTTCGCATCCCTCTTCCTTGGGGAAACAACACAGGCCTCTCTCGGCTGTGCCCTTGTGAGCCAGGCCAGGCTTGCAGGTAGAGGGGGAAAGAAGCTCCGGTTTCATTGCTGACACCTGGCTCAGGCAGCGGGAGGCAGGGGAGAGAGCAGGGGGAGCTGTGGGCGCTCTGGGCTCTCCCGAGTTAGGTGCCCAGGTGGACTTCCGGGCACAGACCGTAGACTGTGCCTCAGTGGGTGGTCCCAGCACCAGCTGTGACTGGCCAGGCACCATCAGACGGAGTGAATGCTGTTTGTACATCTGCCTCAAATGTACATTGACCTCGTGGGAGCTGGAAGCACCAAGCCGGCACCCTCAGAGCCTTGGGGTGCACTGCCAAGTCCCCGTCTTCCAGTGCAGGTGCTCTCAGGCTCCTGAGGGTGGAGGGGCAGAGGCCATTACTACAGGGCAACTGGCCAGTCCCAGTCGTGACTGCTGGTCAAAGAGGGCACGCCGGGCCCCTGGGGAGGACCATGGACTTGTTTGGTAAGGGTGCTTCCCAGTCTGAACTCCTCTGTGGTTAGTTTGCTGCTGGCCCCTATGGTCCTACACAGAGTAGGAGGACTCCAAAAAGTCTGACAAGTGACCCGAGTAACAGGTGCCTCTTACTCTAATGTAAGGCAGTGCTGAACACTGGCAAAACGGGGACATGGCCTGAGCAGTTCCTATGTCCAGACTCTGGGCAAATGCCATTGGAGAAGATCTGATTATTGAGATCGGCCACATCCCCTCATTTGCCCCCTTGGTTTCAGAGCATTGAGGTCACCGTTGTTGGCAGAGTTGTGCAGGGTGCAGATAGCGCAGTGTCCCTGCAGGGGGCGCCCTGCAGTACGATGAGGATTTAGAAGCAGCCTTTGTGCTGGATGCCCTGTCCTTTCTCTGCGAGGCCGTGGACTTGATGGACTCACAAAGCCTGCCACTCTCTCAGGAGCTCTGATTGCGCCTTTACTTCAGGGGTCTGAACCCACACGGCTAAGTTTTGCAGTGTTTTCTCCCCAGTGGTACAATGCGTGTAATGTACGCCACCAGCCACCGGGCGGAGTGGGGGAGGGACCCACAGTCAGGACTGGGTTGCCCCGCTGATTTGAAGCACTAGATAGCTCCTCCTCACCAAAAAGAACACAAGGGGTCTTCAGCAAGTTTGTGAAAAAAGCATGATGAACAAACGATGCTCAGACTTCAAAAGTGTTTTGTGCCAAAATAAACTTCTCTTTTAATACCACTTTTCCAGAAACTTACTGAAGTACTTGCCTACAGTTTACCACGCCAGACCTAATGTGGTACTGGGATGTCTGTGTCTGATTTCTGGGAAAAAAATTTTTTTTTTTAATCCCTTTTAAATGGGTGGCAATGTGCAATTCTTCTAATCTGGCGTACGTGTTTCTGCCGCTTCTGTGGACGGCAAAAAGCTAGAGAAGTCCCAGTCCCCAGGCAGATTCTCTCTTCAGATGTCCAAAGAAGGCAGGAGAGGAGCCTGAGTGGAGAAACAAGATGATCGATCTTTTATTTTCTGTCTGCGACTAGTTTCTTTCTGCTCTCCGCTTTCCTAGCCAGTGCCGCTGCGTGTGCTTGGAGAAAATAACAAATTAATTTTGCGAAGGTCAGAAGGGGCAACCCCCCACCCACGGACTGCACGTGTTAGCCGTGGGGGAGCCGGCGTCGACATGAAAGGCGCACATCTGATGGTCTTATCGAATGAATCCATCTTTGCTCAAACACAGCAGGAGGGCTGCTGGGGCGGTGGGGCCGTGCAAAGCCCGGAATCCCCTGAGCAAGCAGTGTTTCAGCCGACTGGACAGATCAAATAACACTTGGGCTGGTGAACAAAAGACGCAAGTGGGAAGGTGTTAGAAGCTGGAGTGTGGAAATTTACCCAGTGTTGTTTCTTTGACAGGGAAGGAGCCTGGGTCTGAGAGATGCCACATTGCTGCGGCCTCTCTGGGTGCAGCGGAACTCAGTCTCCGCCGAGGCGGCGTGGATGAGGGGGTGGAAGACGATGCGGCCCAGAGCTGAAGGCTGCACGGGCTCCCGGCTGAGCGGCTGAGCTGCCCCTGAACTTGGAACGGCCGTCAGGTGCAGCGCTCATGAGAGGTGCACACCTTGCTCCAGCTTCCAGAAGATTCTTTCTACCAGCTCCCCTTGGATTCCAAAAGCCAATCCAGCTCACCGGGCTGACGGGACCCCTTCCTACCGCTTAGAACACCAAGGGAGACTGTGATACAACTGAGCTTTGAGCCATCTTAAGGAAAGAGACGCAGCTTAGCAAAGCTCTGCACTTGAGCCAGCAAGGGCCTCTGGTGACAAAGGACTCAAAGGGACGGTTTCTGCATCTTTTGCTTTGAGGTCCATTGGGATTTAAAAACAAAGTTTCCATTCCTCAGATAACGACACTATTTTTCTTCCTTTCTAAGATGCCCCATTTGAAAGAAGCATGAGCCATTCTAAGCTGCCCAGTAGCTTCAGGAAGCCCAGGCATTGGTGCACAGCCCTCCCGGTGCAGGTTGAGACAGCCTGAGTCCCGAGTGGAGCAGCTCCGTGAGGACAGAGGTCATCCCTGTCTGCAGAGAGCTGGTGGCGGTGACCTCGGCAGGAGCGGAAGCACCTCTCGGCCGTGGCAGCTGACAGGATGCAGCGTGCTGGGGAGCCCGCTAGCCAGCACTTGGCCTTTCCCGACTGCCCCTTCCTCGCGAGGGCAGCCCCACACCACTGACCCGACCATGGCCGAGAGGGGCGACTGCCTCGCCAGCGCCTATGGGTATGACCTCGGCGGGCGCTTCGTCGACTTCCAGCCCCTGGGCTTCGGCGTCAACGGGCTGGTGCTGTCGGCCGTGGACAGCCACACCTGCCGCAAGGTGGCGGTGAAGAAGATCGCCCTGAGCGACGCCCGCAGCATGAAGCACGCGCTCCGCGAGATCAAGATCATCCGGCGCCTGGACCACGACAACATCGTGAAGGTGTACGAGGTGCTGGGGCCCAAGGGCGCCGACCTGCAGGGCGAGCTGTTCAAGTGCAGCGTGGCCTACATCGTGCAGGAGTACATGGAGACCGACCTGGCGCGCCTGCTGGAGCAGGGCACGCTGAGCGAGGAGCACGCCAAGCTGTTCATGTACCAGCTGCTGCGCGGCCTCAAGTACATCCACTCGGCCAACGTGCTGCACAGGGACCTGAAGCCCGCCAACATCTTCATCAGCACCGAGGACCTCGTGCTCAAGATCGGCGATTTTGGCCTGGCGCGGATTGTCGATCAGCACTATTCCCACAAGGTACGTCCGCCGGGCTGGCTGCTACCCGCAGCACTCCGAGGCTCTGCCTGGCTCCGTGCTAACCAGGCGGCTCGGGCAGTGGCTGCAGGGTGTCGGAAAGATCACGGGGCCGGGAGGGGGGGTCTGGGTCTCCGTCTTGGCTCTGTCACGTGGCTATGGCCAATAGCTGCAGGATGTATATAGGTTGTAGAAGGCTGGACAGGACAATACCAAAAATCTCTCCTAGCTCCCAATCCCACGGCTTTAGAATTGTGTATTGGTGAGTTTGCCTCTAGCGTCCCCGTACCCTGGCTTCCACCCAACCATCTCGTCTCCCTGCTGTCTGTTCAGGACATCATGGGTAGGGGGGCTCCCGCCACAGTTTTCACCTCCTCATTCAATCAGGGCGGACCTATTCCATGTCCTTTCTCTCCGACATGGCTAGTGGGCTCTAATGGCCAATCTGATAAACTGTTGCTCACTGCGCATCATCCAGCAAATGGCTCAGCTTTCCTGGGTCCCACGATGCATCATGGGAAAATCTCAGTGTCAGGATGCTGTGGTTGAGATCCTCCATGGCAGATGGTGAGATGCTCCCCCAACCGGCTGTAGGAATCAGAGCCGGCCTGGCGACACCGGCAGAGGCATGTGTCACCCTCCAGGCCCCAGACCTCCTCCTTCCTGGTCCCCTGCTCTCTTCAGGAGCTGGGACCCTGTGACATTCTGTGCTTTTCCTTACCCCAGGTTCCTGCGACTTTAGGGGTGCCCTTGAGCCCCTTCAGCATGAGCACACCACCAGGCACCCCTCCACCAGCACAGCTGGCTAGTGTGTTGGTTTCCAGCCTCCTGCAGAAGCCTCTGTCCCTTGACATCTTTTATCGGGAGAAAAATCCCATAGGGAGCAGGTGTGCTGTGGGCTGTAATCAGCTGTGTGTGATTGGCGGGGGAGTAGTCGTGCCCTTGACCGTGCTTCAGCCTTCTCTCTGAAGCCCTCCCTCTGCTCCCACACTGCCCTGCAGGACAAGGCCACCATCTGCCTCCTGCCCCAGCAGTGAGAGGGCACTGAAGGCCGGGCTCCTGGTCCTACCCTCACTGGCTGGAACTCAGGCTCCCACCGACATCGCAGACCCAAATCAGCCTCACCGTCTCTGGCCCCTCAGTGCCATAGATGCCTTGGGCACCTCAGCCATGAACTTGCCGTCTGTCAAAGCTGACAGCCAGCTCTGTAGTCAGAAATGTCCTTGGTGAAATAAGGCAGACAAACAAACCAACACACAAAACCCAGTGTGCTTCTCTGCCTACGTAGTGCCCAGAGCTCTCTCTCCCTCCTCTTGCTTCTAAGGAGCAATGACTCAAAACGAGGAAACCAAAGGTTTTAACCCAAATCACCTCTAATTTGATAAAAGACCGAGACTCCACGACCCTGTTATATCCAGGATGCACAAAACCCATCTTCTCTGCTGGAATAAACCAGTGCATTTGGGAACCATAGTAAGATGAGAAGGAGTAAGTGGAGTGTTCCACGGGACGATCTCAGAACAGCACACAGCAGGCTCTCAGCTCAGAGAAGAGAAGCTGCACTGGTAATCTTAGGAGGTGGCGTGGTCTGAGCAAGAGTCAAGGCTACCGGGTGACGAGGCTGGGCCCCTCCTGACCATGCTGGCTTGCAGTGGGTGGTCACGGGCCCCCGTGTTCTCATGCCCCAGGAGCCTGGGTTTCTCTGGCCCTCTCTGCCTCCTGGCTGGTGGTGAAGAATCTAAATGGACCATGAATGTAAGATTCCCCCTGGCAGGACTGCACCCATTCACTTAGCAGGTGCTGAGCGCCCACCGAGCCCAGGCCGGTGCTGGGAGCCAGGGAGGGAGAGACTGACACCGCTTGTCCAAGGGCTGTGCTCGGGCTCGCCATCCTGTTGCTGCCACTCCCCGGCTGGACTTCGGTTTTCCCAGGCAGAGGAGCTTAGATGTTCTGACTCACTCTGGTGGGGAGCTCGTCAATCAGATCATTGTGGGAGATGAAAAAAATGACGCAGGGGCTGACGTCACGGCATAGCAGGTAAAACCTTGGACACCGGTTCTAGTCCCGGCGGCTCCACTTCCCATCCAGCTCCCTGCTAATGGCCTGGGAAAGCAGTGGAAATGCATGGGCCCCTGCACCCATGTGGAGACCTAGATGAAGCTCCTGGCTCCTGGCTTTGGCCTGGCCCAGCCCTGGTGGTTGTGGCCAGTTGGGGAGTGAAACAGTGGATGGACGATCTCTCTCTCTCCCTCACTGTAACTCTGTCAAACAAATAAGTAAATCTTTTTTTTTTTTTAAAGTGACAGGAGCCAGCAACAACCAAGTAGGTACTCCTGTCATGCCCCCACCCACCCCCCGCCTCGGTGCCCTGGAGTTGGGCAGGCACTACCCACCCTCACCCCGTTTCCTCCCTTACACACTTTTGCTTTTAGCTTCCTGCCTTCTCTTCCCCAGTGATGAGGGAAGGACTTATATTTGGTGCTTTTATTTATCCAATATCTATTTAAATAAGTTCTCAATTAACCCTTGTAACACTGTGAACATTTAGGGCGGTTGCTCCATTTGAAAACAGAGGACTGGATTTGTTAAGCTTACGCAGCTGACCATGCTGGGAGTGGGCGTGGGGCTCTAGAACTGGGGCTGCTCATGTCCTCCCAGAGGCTCTGTCCACATGCCGCCTCCTCCGGGAAGTCTTCCTGGATTCCAGTTTATTATTAATAATTCCCTTCTGTGAATTCTCATGTCACTTTTCCCCAGTCCTGTAGCCTGTGTATTCTAAGTCTGTCTTATGGGGGTTTGTGCCTGTTCTTTTTACTCCTCCAACTCAGAGTCCCTCGGCTCCTTGAGGGCTGTCTCTTATTTATCTTGGTGACTTTCATTCACCACCACAATGTATCCACACTTTGCCTCCAAATCACATTAGGATGTCCTGAAAATCAGCTAGCTCAGGGGTCCTCGGAGCGTGGGCCCAGACCACCTCACCTGGGAACTCATTAGACTTGTGGATGCCTGGCCTGAAGGTGGCACCGGCCACCTGCGCATGCACGACTTCCCAGGTGTTTCTGATGAGCCTGACCTTTTAAGAGCCAGCGATCGCTTGTTCCTGGAGGCCTGGAGCTGTGGTTTTCAACTTCAGCATGAAGGAGACCACTCAGAAGACCTTCTAGAAAAGTAGGTGTGTTTGAAGCAGGTGCCTTTACCTAGAAGGGGTAGTTAGTGGTGGCGAGGGATTGCAGGCCCAGTATGGCTTCCCCTGGCTTCGATCGCATCGTGTTGGAAATAGCGTGTGCCAGCGCAGCCTGGGTGCGGTGGAAAGCTACAAAAAACGGAACCTAAACCAAAAGGAGCTTTGGTTCTGTTTAGGTTTGATTGTAGCATTAGTCAGGTGGTAGGAATACCGATTTTGGAAAACATAATCTTCCCATTCTGGTGTAAGCTACTTCTCTCGATTCAACTTACAAACAAGAACACTGGTTTCACGGCCGAGTGCAATTGAGCGTTTGAGATCTCAGCAATTTACCGCAGCTGGAAGCCTTGTGGTGCAGTTCCAGGCCCCCAAGGAGGCAAAGACAGGGCCTTTGCATGGGAGCCCTGGCCGGCGGCGTTTACGCTGGTTCAAATCTGTTGACCACTTCCCCAGTCTACTGGCCCCTCTGCCTGGCTTTGGTGGTTACTGGGGCCAAGGTGACCCACAGAAAGCTCCCTTGGGGCCCCGGATTCCCTAGAAACTGAACACAGCGGGCAGGAATGCACCTTTCTGAGCCAGGCAGAGGGTCTTTGTGTGCCAACGGTCTGGGTGAGCTCCAGCTCGCTGCTGGTGAACCCCAGGTCACTGAGGGGGACCCCAGAACTGAGCTCGGGTCAGTGGTGCTGGTGCCGGGAGGGGGCCCACCACCCGCAGAGGCCGGGTTTCCTGAGGAAACGAGCCCCAGGAGGACATCTCACTGCGGGCACAGCTAGCGTGGAGGGCCACTTTCTTTCTCAGCCGCTAAGCGTGTTATTCCAAATCAGTGACGCTGAAAAGATTTATTTAAAAGACTATGAAATATCCCTTTTTAAAAGGGAAAAATATGACCCAGGGGATTAGAACGGAGGTCATACTCAAGAGTCAAGTGTTCCTGAACTTGCAGGTGGATTTGGGGAGCTCATTTTGTTGGCTTTCCCTACCCTTTTGCCACCTTCCCCTGGGCAGGACAGGGCCCCCAAGTGGGCTGCTCACTCTGTCCCTGGGCCTCCTGGGGTCCTCGGAGTGCCACTCCCAGGATGCCACAGCCCGGCTGCCCCGTGGAGCTCCGAGGGTGACAGAAATCTTAGCCAGCAGGCACGGCGGTGGCACCGTTCGTTCAGACAGGGAGCCAGCCAGAGTCCCACGCAGGGCCCTCGAGGCCCCTGCCTGCCAGGTTGACCCTTTCTTGCCATTATGAAGGTGATGAGCGAGGTGTCAGGGGCTTAGAGCACTGGCTGCCTTCCATTATCCCAACGGCCGGCCCGCTACGCCCGTGCACACCCGCCCTGCTCTGCTGCCTCCCTCGCCACATCAGGCTCCCCCTGCAGACCCGCCCCTGGATCTGGGTCTCTGCTGGAGGGGGCAGTTGATTAAACGGCCAAAGGGATCAGTAGCTCCCTGGTCAGAACCCTTACTGTCTGCAGCAGCCTGCTGGGTGCCCTGGCCCGCACGGCACCCTTAGCGTGGCTGGGGAGGGGCTAGCGTTTCACGTCCCGCATCTCCGTTTATCTGGAGAGCATCTTAATTGTCCCCTCGTTTGTGAAGCTTGTTCTCTCTGGATAGAAACTTGGGAGCTCGGGGTCTTCTCTTTCGATTCTTGAAAAATGCCATTGCTGTATTCTCGGTCCCCACTCCTTCCGGGGGCGGGGGGAGCTGGCTTTCATCCCTGTCATTGCTGCCTTCTCTGGGGTGTGTATTTTTTCTCTAGCCCCTTTCAAGATGTTCTCTTGATCTTCGATGTTCAGCAGCTTGATTAAGATGCAGCCTTATTTGAATT